CACTTCTCCTCCACCTATGTACACTTCACCTCACATACCACACCTAAGAGAGACTCCTCACAGTTCTCCAAAAATGATTCTCCTTCCTATTTCCTATTGTTCCCTTTGCCCACCTGCCCTCCCACTCTATCAGCTCATTATTATCTCCAAAATTCAAATGCTCCTCCAAGGTTCAGCTCAAGTCACCTCCTCCATGAAGCCTTCTCTCATTCTCCCACACTGTGCGATCGGTCCCTCCTGATTTGCTTTAGTCGTGCATTTGCATCTCCTTTAGGGCACGTTAATTCCATATTGCATTACAGTCATTTGGATGCTTTATATTATGGTCTCTGTGCCTTTAGGACAGCACTTTGTCTTTATCATCTTTGTTCAATACAGCACCTGGAAGACTGCTTCAAGCATAACATGTGCTGAATAAATAATGAATTTGCTCTTTATTTTTTGTATGTGATATAATGGGAGAAACATCTCATGAGAACCCAAGAAGAAAGCCAAGGTTTTTCTTTTTTATTATCATCCAATCATTTATTCAACAAATCTTTTTTCATCACTAGATAATATGTTAGGCAATAAAGGTATATAAATAAAGACACAAAGGCCTGTACTCAATAAATATACATTCTCCATCAGGGAGATTGGCACATAACACCAATAGAATAATAAGATACATGTAAAACAGTATGAATTGCAAAATCGTGGCACTTCTACCACCATGTAAGAGTGTATTCTTGGGAAAATCACTTACTCTGTGTAAGTGTTAAGTATAAAATTAAAAGTCATAAGCAGTTTATGAATTATGATTCTAACCATTGTGTGGCCTTCTCTGTTCATGGATGGCCTTTCTATGTTAGTGCCAATATATTTGCAAAAATTATTAACGTTAACTAAGTCTAGGGAAATCTAATATGCAGCAACCAAAGGAAGGTAAAAACCAGCAACTGAAATTGCTAATTAGACAATAAGAGAAATAAATTATATGTGCTTCACCAGGACCACCAGATAAACAAACCAGTGAAATTCAAGGCCATGAAATGTGGGGTGTGCATCTCTGGGCTCCTCCACCAGCGTGTGCCTGATGGCTACTTGAGGTGCCCCTCCTCTGCCAAATCCCCCAAAATGCAAACTAGATCCCCTTCCAAGTTTCCTAATTCAGACAATTTAGAACTTAATAATCAGGATAGCCATATGCTTTTTCGCCTTGAAGAGAGGAGAGTCAATAGCTCCTAGATAAGAACTTGCCTTATTTATAATGCAGTTAAAAACATCTCACTAAGAAAACAACTCAGTACGAAGAATGGCCATCACTCATATAATCCCAGGAAAGTGAGACCAGAGAGGCAAAGCTGGACAGTGCTTGCCCATGCTCTCTCCAGGTGGAACGGAATCCTGGCCAGCAGATTCTGAGTTTAACATTTCTTGGCCAAGGCTCATCCTAAGATAGAAGGGAATTGTCCCACTTTACCCTGGCAGAAGGCATACAGGTCATTGAATGGACTCCTCCAGCTCTGATTCTATGCTCATCAATCCTGGTTACTGACTGATTTGCTATGAGGCCTATCTGTTGGAATAAAATATAATTGTCAAGCTGATGAATACTTTGGTTCCTGGGACAATTGTCTTTGTCATCACAAATTAATGTCACTCTCACTGATACATCAGTCTCATGAGCTGCTTACTATGAGTCCTCACCTAAGAAGAAGATGGCCTCTCAGTAGACTCACAAAATTAAATTTCTGGATCTGAAAAGCTAAGGTCAAAACCTTGGAACTTGGAAAATTCTGCTGCAAAGACACCTTGCATTGGCTCCAGAAAGATAGCTGGATGCCCTTCTGTTAGAGACTTACTTCCCCATTACACATGCCATGTACCTTCTCTTCAAACTCTTCTAATTGGTACTTAAATTAGGTAAGAACTTTGTGCTTTCCTGTGCACTGTGGAGCCAAGTTGAGAGCAATGCTCTGGCAGGGATGAGAGATGCTCTACCCTGGGCTCCCACCCGGTGACACTGCATTTACCACAGAGAATTGGAAATGCACATGTGCAAGTCAGCCTCCCCTCCGGGATGTGGGCAAGGACGATTTTCTGTTCATTGCTGTATCTCCGCACCTGGTACCTGGCACATCGAAGGTATTCAGTGAATGCTTGGGAATGAAGCAATTGGACAGTATCATCCAGAACTTACTGAGGATTTACACATGCTAAATTTAGAACTACAAATGATATGGTTCCTGTTCTCAAGTAAAATCAATAAAAAACTTAAGACCTGAACTGTGAACCAATGTTCTGGTCTTAGGTGTGAGTCATTATCAAAGAAAAATAACTCAGCAACCAAGAAGTCATTTCAAAACAACAAATTCTCTTTTTCCAATTCTCAAACGCTGTGATAAAGGATCTTAGTCCATAGCAACAATTCATAAAGCTCTCTTTTTTACATACGATTACTTCATATCACTCAAGCTCTTTCCATGCTCCTCTCTTCTTTAGATCCTCCCACCAAAACCCCTCTCCCAGACGTAGTCCTCAAACTTCAGTCCTTTTATTCCTTCTTTTCCCTTGATTCTGCATCACAAAAGCCCAAAAGAACTGGTCTGGCAATCTCAAACCTTCCTTGAAACTTTGAGATGGGAAAAAAATGAATAAGCAAAACCAGAGCCATCCTTTGTAAGCAGTGAAAGAAGATACCTCAAAACAACCCTACATTACAAATGATGGCCTGCACATATATAGATAATATTTAAAGGTGCCAAAATAAATAGGAAATAGTACCAAGAAAAGAAAGTGCTTAAAACTTTTAAATATCCACAATGTTTAAGAGACTTGTGACCCTCAATCACAAAATATTTATTGAGCATCTTACTATAAGAATTGTTTTGAAAGACTACTGTGTCAGCGGTACCCAAGACCACCCCTACATTTGGACACTTACTAGAAGAACTCACAGAACTCAGTTAATAATTGTACTTACAGCCAAGAGTTCTCACAGCAATACAGTAAGGATACACAGCCAGATCATAAGGGGAAGAGACACAGGGAGCAGTCTAGAGGGTTCCATATATAGACTTCCTTATGCTCTCTTCCTGCTGTGAGAGATCGCACAGAGAACATGTCCTCCAGCAACAAAAATGCAGCAACATGTGTGCGATGAATCAGCCTAGGGAAGCTCCTTAGAGGCTCCCTCAGTGCCCGGGGATTTTATTGGGGGTTGGTCATGTAGGCACTCTCTACCTAGAACATAAAAAAATTCCAAACTGCCAGAAGGGAAGCAAGAGTTAAGAATAAACTGTATTGTTTGTACAAAACTCTAGGCACAATGAGCCACACTTATCAGTTAACTGTTGACTAAAAGCGTTCTGAGAACCAAATTCCTAGATGTCAGCCAAGGGTCAACCTTGTAAGCTAGCCTTTCTAAGGGTAGCAGCTTCAGCAGGCCTGCTATGTTAACTCTTTTCTGCACAGATACAAAGACCAAGTTCTTGCCCTTGAGGTAATTACCATTTAAAGAAATAAGATTTATACATAAACTATGCAATGCATACAGTAGGTGTAGCATGCTGGATAACACCAAAGCAACATTGCCCAAAATGTCCTCTAGTCTGCCTTTATCAGAATCACCAGGGTGCTTGTCAAACTAGTGGCGACAGCTCAAAGCATCCTAAGTAGAAAACCGGGACGTCCGTCAAGGCCAAAGGATCAGGTGACATTATAGAAGCCCTTGAATACCATAATGAGAAATTTGTATTTGATTGCATAGCCACGGGAAGCCACTGAAGGTTTTATTATTTTTTTCACCAACTAATAAGATCAAAACAGCATTGTATGCAGATGAATGTGACCATGTTATGTAGAACAGAAGAGGCAGAAATAGTAGGCCAAGAAACCAGAACCTCTGAAAGAACATGATCATAACTAATACCTAGGGACCGCTAACCAGGACTTAGACACTCTACCTAGGACTAAATCCAAGGTGATTTACATGAATCCTTATGTCAGCCTTCTAAGTAGATGCTACTGTCCCAATTTATTGAAAATCTTGCCCAATGTCACAGAATGAATTCACACCTAGAGTGTGATTCCAGAGCTCATATACTTACTTGCTATCCAACAGACCTGTGTAACAGAAAGTCAGGACAGTAGAAAAAGCAATGAGTGGTGGGTCAGCACCTAATGCAAGAGAAAGGAAGTAGCCATGGGTAACTCCCACACTGCCTCTCCTCCCTTTGGGCACTTTATTCTAAGATGACAGGCAGAATTCATCTTCCAAAACTGGAAGAAGATTGAGGAAGCGAGCTAAAACCAGAAATTGTCAAATTTTTCTGAATGAAATAAGAGAAGCAAAGAATAAATAGGAGTCACAACTTCTTCTTGACCCAGATAGAGAGTAAGAAAGAAAGTGGCATGTTGCATCTCGATTTAAAGAAAGGAGTGGGCAACTGGTGGCATCCTTGTTATCTTTAATATCTAAGAGACATTTATACTATTAAAAATCACCCTTCTTGCATATTTCCCTGTCATAATACAACCCAAAAATCAATTAATAACTGAGCTACTGTTGAGACTGTAATTTTAAGAACATCTAAAATTAACACCAGACTCATCACACATACATTCATTGATCACTTGATTGCATAAAAAGTTTTGGAGATGTTAGACTGAGACACTAACCCCAAGGACTTTAGAGGACACAGCGCAGTAATTTGCTTAATCAATAACTATCTATCTTGGTTCTTCATAAAACCCAGAATTAAGCAACAAGACATGGCAAGCCACTATCTATGGGGAATTAATCTGTTGCCTCGATTGGCATTAAGCAGGAGGCCAGTGGCCATTAAAACAAGTTGAATTTAATGTACCAAAATAACTCAGTCCTAGGCTACTGAGCTTATCACGTTGAAAATGATTCTAAAATTTTTATCAGCCATTAACATAACTTCTAAGAGAGCTGTCTGTATCTCTCCTACTCAAAATCCCTATTGGCCAATTCAAGTACTCAGAAATATGGCCAGGAAATGACAGAGAGGAACAAGTTAAAACAAAATCTTCAAAACCTTTGACACTACCCAGATGGCCTGTGGTATGTACCCTGCTGTTGGGGAAAATTCATTCTATAATAATTCAAATATCTAGCTGAGTTACAGCTTGCTTGAGAATTCTTTTCCCCTAAGAGGTAATGCCAATAAAAATTTATATGCTCATTTACGGTTTCAGAAATCTGACATGGTATAAAAGAATGAAAAGAGACATGACCTGCCTTCCAGAAATTTCACGAGAAAGATGAGACGGACACAGATAAAAATATGAATGCACACAGGTAAATATTTATGAATAGTGGTAAAAGTGTGGGTCATGGAGGTCCAACAGCTGAGGTTTGAACCCTAGCTCCACTAGTCACCATCTTCAACAAGATTTATAACCCTCCCAGAGCCTCAGTTTCCTCTTCTGAAAACTGAGTTAATAGCAATATCCATCTCTTAGGTTATGGTGAAGAGTCAGCAACATAATGAACATAGAAGTCTTAGCACATGAAAGGAGTTCGACAAAAGCGAGCTGCAATTACTATCATAAAAGCATTTGTTGTTGTTTTTACTACCGTTACTACTCCTACCACCGTGGTTACTCTCATCTGTATTTTGCCCCGTACCTTAAAGATAAGGAGGCTCCCAGGCTGCATGAAACGGTCCAGTCCAAATGGAATAATCTCTCTTGGGTGGGGAAGCTAAGAGGCACATGGTTCGCCAGAAATGTCAGAGACGAATATTCTAGGTGGAAGACATGGCTGCAGAGGGAGGGAGCATAGCCTAGAGAACAGATAAGTCAGTTTACTCTAAATGGCTTTCTGAGCTGAGGAAGGGCACATGTTCACAGATCATATGATTTTCAGAACTGGCAAGTGCCTTAAAAATCCTTAAGTTACTAAAAAAAAAAATGCCACAAAAATGGCATTTTGGATAGCCACAAAAGTCATATGTCTTCCTCTAGTGTTATTTGAAATTTTGAAATAAATTCAGTATCAAAATGAAAAAAAAATTGATGCAATGGTATCTTTGACAAATTTTTAGTTTTGATCTTGAAAGATGCATATTTCTTCCTTCAATCATGTGGCAACAATGTGAGCACAGAATGTGCTTGCTCACCACTAGCTTTTCATTTCTAAGTAACAGGGAAAACAGAGCTCGGCACAGCTTACTCTCAATGTCAAGCTTATTTGCTGCTTTCTTTTCATACGTCCATCTGTCACAGGACACCGTCACCCTGACTCTGTCTGATACACCCTATAAGGGGCCAGGACAAAGGGATCACGAGACTCGAGTGACTGCTCTTAGACACAGCTAGTTGGCAAAGGAAAGAAACAGGAATCCTGCTGATGGAGGGGAAATTCAGAGGCGGAAACAAATGACAGCAAGGGCTTAGAATAACGTGCTGTGGGAAATCAGATGATGGGGGCAGCTCATTAGATGGGAGCAAGAAAGGGACTTAAGCAAAATGATTTTTTAGGAAAAGCCTTCTTGCTGCACAATAAATTAACTGTGTCAGATTCCTTATCTCGGCACCTTTTGCAACCGGAACCTGAAATGAAATATCAACAAAATATATTTAAAGGAAAAATCCAGGTGTAATTTTTTTTTCATTTAAGGAAGTTGTCTATTTATTATCCATGTTTAACCCATTTTAAGAATGAAGTTAAAAATGAAGTGTTGTTTTGTTGGTTTTTTTTCATAGGTGGTTATAACAAGCTAAAGTTTCAGTGGCTAAAAATTCTGTTTCTTTCTTTCTTTTTTTAAGACAAAAAGGTACAAACTGAGTATGCAGGAGCTTGGACTTTTAGGGATATTCTCCAAAAGTTGAATTTTAGTCCTGCTTCCCTAAGAAACATCCTCTTGCTCTGGCAACTTGTAGACACGGAATTCTCGTTAGCTCAGATTTTCAATTCAGGGACATGGAGGCAAGGCATTTTCCCAGGAGAGACCACATATCTGAACCCCTCTTTCCTTCCCAGGACAACTGTGTGCATATTGACCTAACACAGGCCTGTGTTCTTGGTAGATTCTCAGCAAATGTTTGATGATGACCCTGGCTTTCAAGACTCTGCCACCAACCTCAGCTTTCATAGCCTTTTTGCACAGGGAGCAGGATGAAAAAAGAACTTCAAGACTGAATTTTATTCTGCTAAGCCACTGACTCTACCACTCATCAAAGGCTCTGCCAGTGGGAACACTCGTAAAGGACAATATAAACACACCCATGTTTGCGTTGCCATCTGAAACTGAAGTCAAATACACTTGTAGCATTCCACGTGCTAACCAATAAACTGCAGTGCTTTCGCAGAAGAGGACACCCCTTTGCTGTCGGAAGTGTGGAAAACAGGCAGACAGGTGGGGGCTCCAGAGGTTTTAGATAGGAAGGGATTGGAGCAGGAAGCTACCAAGAAGAGGAACCTAGGGGACTTGCTTAAAGCTGTGTCCACAAGCACCTTGCTGTTACACGCATTGCATGTTTACAGGGCAGCTTCTTGGGTTTTATCAGGAAAACAACTTTAGCTGATGGAGCTGATGGTTAAGCCCCTCCATCCAAACCACCCTCTAGCCTCCCACTGGAGAGTGAATGAAGAAGTGAAAGAACAGAGTAGGGAAAATCTTGGGAAGTGATGAAAATCTGTCAGTGTGTCTGTCTACGCTGGTATGAATCTCTGAAGTCACTCTGAAGCAGTTTAGGTTCTGGGGAGTTTCCCCACATACGCGGTCTGACAATTAAGTTCACAAACATGTTGCAACAATGTTGCTAACCTTTTTCAATATCAGAGGGATTATTCATTATGAATTTGTACCAACTGGGCAAACAGTTACCAAGCTTACTATTTGGAAGTGCTGAAAAGGCTTCATGAAAAAGTTAGACGACCTGAACTTTTGGCCAACAATTCATAGCTCTTGCATCACGACAATGCACCAACTCACAATGCACTGTCTGTGAGGGAGTTTTTAGCCAGTAAACAAAAACTGTATTGGAACACCCTCCCTACTCCCTGATCTGGCCCCCAGTGACTTCTTTCTTTACCCAAAGATAAAGGAAATATTGAAAGGAAGACATTTTGGTGACATTCAGGACATCAAGAGCTACAACAACTCTGATGGCCATTCCAGAAAAGAGTTCCAAAATTGCTTTGAAAGGTGGACTAGGCGCTGGTGTCGGTGCATAGCTTCCCAAGGGGAGTACTTCAAGTACTTCATAGTACCCAAGGGGAGTAGTGATATTCAGCAATGTGGTATGTAGCACTTTTTCTAGGATAAGTTCATGAATGTAATTGTCCGACCTCGTAGGCGGTTAAGTAGTTCAGAGCCCTTATTGAAATGATCCAAGCAAATCACTCCTTACTCATTCTCAGCATGTTTTACCCTACTCATATCCTATGTTGGGTTTGAAAAAAAATGAATTATATTTTTGAAGAAACAATACCATAAACAGTACAAACTTCAAGATATACAAGAAAATACTGTGAAATATAACATCCCTCACCACCTCTATCTCTTAGCCACTCAACAACTGTTAAAGCTTCTTGAATATTCTTCCAAAGCTGTTTTATATGTAAATTTATGGAAAACTTACATATGACATATATAGAAGAGTAGTTTTCAAATGTTTTTACTGTGATGCACAAAGGGAAATGAATTTTGTCTTCTGTCCCACTGATGTAGCTATCTGTGCCCCAGTATCAGAGTGTTTCAGACACTTCAGCTTTATAAAATGTGTTCAGCGGAGCATTTATGCTTTTCATTGCTACTCTGATTCAGGACTTTTTCTGGCTATTCTTGCTCTTTTATTTTTCCATATAAACTTTAGAATCAGCTTCTCTGAGCATATGGTCCTTTCTTGCAGTGTATTTTGGTACCCATTGTTGGTTTTCTAAATATTCTGCAATTTCAATTTCAACAATTATTTTAAAACTGTAATTTGCAGAAGGTAAGGAAGTTTTTCTTTCTATCTTTATTATTAATTTGTGATGTGATTGCATTGACATCAGAAAATATTGAGTATTTTTATTTGAGAGATTTTATTGCAGTTTTCTTCGCAGTTTACTATGTATTTGTTTTTAGGGGCTGCTCCACTGACACTTGCAAGTACAATGTTTTCAGAGTATATAGCTTGGTATTAATCTATTAGAGCTATCTTATTGATTATGTCATTTAGACAGTCCATATTTTCACTTGCTTTTTTTTTTACTTTCCCTGTCAATAGTAAAGAGATAAGAATTAAAACTTTCTATTATTAAAGCACTTCTGTCTATTCCTGTTTCCTATAACTTTCGTACCATGTTTTTCATGACAATTTATTCATCACATCATCAGTTACATCCTTTACTATTATCAAGTGCCCTTTTTATCTATTATAATGCTTTTTGCCTGAATACAACCATATAGTTATGACTACTGCTCGAGTTCTCTCTCTCTCTGTCT